ACGTACTGCTTAGGACTCTGAGGAGGCATCATAGCCAGTATGAACGATGCGAAGAGAATAGGAAAGTCGATATAATTGTCCGGAATCAAACATCGGTTGTACATTCTGTAGCCAGTCATCCAGACTTATTTGTTCAAGGGAGTAAATTTGTCACGTGTAGCATCCGTTTATTTGGTTCTCTTCTGTAATGTGAGAATTAATAGAAAGTTGCAGAAAATTGCATAATGAGGAGTTTCATAATTTGTACTCTTCGCGAAATATAGTTGAAATGTTCAAATAAAGGGGGATGAGGTGGACAGAACATGTAACGCGCATGGTGATAGATGAATGTATATAAGGTTTTGATGGAAAAGCCGGAAGGAAAGAGGGCACTAGGAAGACCAAAACATAAATGGGAAGATAATATTGTGACGAATTTGATCAACGCGTTGCCGGGCAACAGTTCTGTAAACACGCTCCAACACACAGTAGAGGAAGCTGTATTTTCTGTAGATCCGACAGACGCGCCAATAGGCTGATTGGTTAGCGATCACGTGATATGTGTTTACTTTAGGTCCATGTCCGTTCTGCAGCTATATAACGAGAGCCGTGAGCTGTGAGTTCAGAGAAAATTGGAACTAGGAATACAAAATGATTAGAAGTCGGCCTGTGAAGAGTTAACGTGTGATCGGAAATTTTTATTTATGTGTAATATTTGGAGTGTGTAGTTCATTGAGACTGTTATAGTTCTTGTGTGATAAATCCACGAAGACTAGTGCAGATAGAGTGAAGAGATTAGTGTGGAGTAATTGTAAATTGTGTAAAGCAACAATAATGTAATACTGTAATTAATTGTACGATCTGTAGGTTGTTAATAAATCCAATTACCAATCAGTATTTAGTCACTGTGACACACGACAATATTAAAATGGATCTTAAACAGGACGGTGTTGTAGGGACTTTATTTATTTAGTTCAAGATACGGACCAGGGGCAGGCCCTTGTGAACATAGCCATGAATCTTTCGCGTTCCATAACATATTGTGAAATCCTTAAGCAGCTGAGCGACTGGTGGCTTCTCAAGAAGGACTCAGTTCCACGGAGTTAGGTATTAAATCAGTTCTGTAATGAATCTTAGCATCTATTCCTCACTTACTGTTCCCCAGTAGAAGAGCAAATAGCGATTATTCTGTGACGCTATATTCTTATTTGGTTTCCCTGGAAAACGGCATCAACGAAAATTGCTCACGTTTTGGAAGCATGTTGCCACGAAACTTCCTGTTTCTGCATTGGACACGACTGGCGTTATTTCGCCCTTTCACCGAGTTAGTGTCAGTAAAGAATGAAATTAGGTGTGGGAGCAGAGCGCCTCAGGTACCATAATGTGCATAAGAGATTTAACGAAGACCTGTCAGCTGCTTCCGAAGTTAAGCGGATAAACGGATAAACATGCAAATATAAATCTTCTACGCGTTGGCCTCTCACTCTATACGCCCGAGCAGTTCTGACGAAGTGGAATATCTGCTTTAAGAACGTCACCTACTGCTGTTTGTATTATTTGAAGAATGGCAATGTATTGTCCCTGCGACAACTCCTTAAAGCCAAAATATATTGTGCCAACACTATTTTATTCGCTTAAGGATGATGAATGACCTGTTGACAGGCGGAAAAATTTCTGTGATAAGATGTGCGCTGAGTGTGACGTAGAACTATTGACGGATGGGAAGGAAAACGTCGGAGCTGCTTCGTTCTCTCGAATTTATATAAGGAGATTAATGTGGTGACGAAACGTCAGGGAGGGACTGCCTTGCCAGCGCTTGTACTTAAGTTTATACAACATGCGACGAAGAGAAGGCATCTGCCATTTTGATATAGTACGTCAATTCTGTGAGAAACTGAGGTCATTTGTACTCATTTTCAGCGAAATGAGCCGACATCTCGTAAATGCTAAGCACTCTTCATTAATCTCGAGATGTCACACCGATGCAGTGGGCAGCGCGAGGGTTGAGAGGAACAGCGTTGGTTGTTACATTTGTTTTCTTGTCCTGTCTTTGTGCTTCCTGAACTTAGGCCCATGTAGCCTGTTCCGTCTTCTCTCATCCAGGAATCTGTTCTTCTATGTCTTTCTAGAGAGCTTCATAACGTGTACTCTTCTCCAAGTATAATTAGAATGATCAAGCCAAGGAGGATGAAACGGACAAGGCATGTAGCACGAATGGGGGAGACGAATGAATACAGGATATTGGTGGGAAAGCCAGAAGGAAAGAGACTAACAGGGAAGGCCAAGGCGTAGGTGGGTGAACAATATTAAAATGAATCTTAGAGAGATAGAATGTGATGCTATGGATTGGATTTATCTGGCTGAGGATAGGGACCAGTTGAGGGCTCTTGTGCACACGGTAATGAACCTTCGGGTTCCATAAAATGCTGGGAAATTCTTGAGCAGCTGCAGATTTGGCTTCTCCTCAAGAAGGGCTCAGCTCCATAAGTAAGTAAGTAAATGTCTTTCTGGAACGATCTCTGATTAGAGTTGAGATAACAACGCTTTATAGTCCGCTGGAATCAACCTAAGTTTCGGATAAACATGTTACCTCCATCTTCATTTCTCAGAAATGAGCCGGGAAAGCGGAATCTTTATAGCAACAGACTATGGGCTTGACGGCCGTGGTTCGATTCCCAGCAGAGACAAGAGACTTTCTCTACTCTATGGCGTCTAGATCGGTTCTGGAGCCCAACAACCTCCAATTCAAATGGGCACCGGGGTTAAAGCGTCCGGGACGTGAAGCTGACGACGTCATCTATTGCCGAGGTTGAGAATGGTGGAGATACACCATACGTCCTCGCGGCGTGATGCTTAACAAATTAACACCTTACGAATCATTTAGTGAAAGTTCTGAAATTCAACATTTTTTACTCCGTTGGTCTCGCTAGCAGTGCGTGCTGAAAGAAGAGTATGAATTTTCCTGAACTGAAGCAAGTCACTTCAATGTGAAGGTGCTGATATATCGTACGAGAGATCTAATTATTGATTTCGTGTTGGACATGGCCATTGTTTCGGACAAGGCAGCTGGATTGCAGTCATCGCTGCCTTTATTTGTCTAGGACCGAGGAAGACGCCACTGAGTGTAGCCGTGTCTGGGGATACATAAGCTCTACTGAACGGCTGCAGTTTATGAAGCTTTGCAGTAAGGCCTAAAGAAATACCAGTTCGGCGGATATGCAGACATTTATGACTTCACGAGAGCGATACTAGATTAAAAATTCAGGTGTATGGTCCTAAAAAATGTATGTTCTCTGTTAAAATCAGCACGCTTTGGACATAAATTTGGCACAAGTGGATAATGTAAGGAGCAATTTTCAGTTTTAGGAAAGTACCTGACGTAAATGAAATTATAAGATATGACGGTTCTTATAATGTGGAAGTTTTGGTCAGGTAATTTTCTTTAAATTAAAATAAATATTGAGATTTTGAGAAATTGTATTCAGCTTCATGATAACCGCGACACTTGGGCCCTTGAGCTACCTAGAAGTGGACTGATATTAAAGTAAACTTTTGCTCATGAAAGTTCACTAACCAAAGTCAGAAATCTGGCACCCTGAAGTCTCTGAATGCCGTCTGACATAGTAAAGAAGCCTAATCGGTGTACGGCTCCTGAGTTCTTAACGCTTCCAATTTTGAATTTTCATGATTTTTTAGATTATTAATGCATTTAGTTCCTGAGAGAGTAAGGGCTGTATATTCATGATTAAACTGAGCAAAATGCAAATAGAAATTAAAGGAAAGCTATTCTCTTTTGCATTTCCTATGTTGTACTAATAATGTTTCAAACGTATCTTTGTTTTCTCTACTCCACGGAATGTAAAGATAAAGACATTAAGAAACAAGGCGACGAATGAGAGGTTAGTAGTTGTACTACACAGCATCCTGTTGCATTACTCTTAATATTCAGTGGATAAACGTTTCCACCGTCCAAATGTAACGTTTCTATTCTTGCCTGTCTTACATGTACTGCTGTACAACAGGTTTCTGCCTCACACGGCAATTTTCAGGCGTAGTTCTCTAAGTAAAACTGTTGCACGGCCACTTTGATTTAGTCATGTGTGGCGCGCGTTGTTATTTTCAGTATAAATCCATAAAGTGCTTATTCCTGTTGATTGCTAGCAGCACGCATTGCGAACTGTGTGCTAATATTGTTGTCAGGAATGTCTTATATATTAAGTGTTATTTTTGCGTTTTATATCTTACGTGTATTTAGGTTTCTTTTCCGTTGATGTGCTGATGTCGCTTCTTATTGAGTTATTCTGTGCGCTTAGTGATTGTGAGTGTTTTGTTTTGTTGGTTCAACACCCAGCTACACCAACACACCACCGAAAAAAATATAAGTACACTTAAGGTATATAAAACAATAGAACACTAACTCTTAATATACAGAGCGTCCTGGAGGAATGGTCAATATTCTTGGAGGTCACAGTGTCGGTCATTCTAAGCAAAAAGTAGTACGTATATGTGTACATGTGTTCTCTTCCGGAAGGTTTCCGAGATGGTGGAATTTTGTACTAAGTGAACTGCACCAGATTTGTCGCTTGAACAATTTATACCGGTACAAGAAACATTATGTAATATCTCTTTCTTATCAGCAATTTTGGAAATGTACAGTGAAATATCTCTACCTCGGAAACCTTTCGGAATAGGACACATGAATATACATATACACTCTCTTGCTTAGAATGACCGACACTATGAACTCACAGAATATTGACCTTTCCTCCTGGGACACTGTATAATACACTCCTGCCAAAAATATTAATACAATACAGTTATTAAAGATATCACACACACACACATCTGGCAATGTGCTCTGCTGGCAGTCAGCAGGCACCAACATTTTATGGATTTTGAAAGTAATACCGCGTTCCACACGCGACTTAATTGAAGTGATAGTGCAACAATTTTAGTAGAGTAACTATGCCTGAGGATGGCCGTGTGAGGTCGAAACCTGTTGTAGAAGATTGTACGTAGGATAGAAGACAAGAATAAAAACGTCGCATTGAACCTTGGAAACACGTACCCCCTGAATGTGGGAGATGAGGAAAGCGAAAAGTCTCAGAATCGACGAGGCAGGAATGAGAATTTTCAATCACGTGACCGGACGTTCGGAGCTTGGCCGAGGGAACGGAGGAAGCACGGCTATACGTGTATGTAAGAAAATTTAATGACTTTTAATATGCTTGACAAACTGGTGCATATCGAGAGAGGTGGAGAGAACGGGTGTAGAGAAGTAGTGAAGACAAATGATCCGAGGTAGCTAGGAAGGAATAAAAGCAAGGAGAGGTTAAAATCAAGCAAAATTTTATATGCTGGAACGGATGAACACTAGTTGTATGTTGGATTAAGAAAACTCACCGTATTGCGTTTTATAAAATTGAACGGTACTTTCAAAGTATGCCATTTTTTCAGATGCAGAGGGGCAATTTAGCATTTTAAATAACATATTTTAAATGACCAATAGCGATGTTAAAGAAAAACAGGTCTGGAGCGAACCTGGGTTCAGTAAAGAGTTATACCTTCTGCGATATAACGCCATGTAGTCCACTGAAAGTCAGCTGAAGTTTCGGAGGAACATGTCGCCTCCATCTGCAAGGCTGAGAAATAAGCCAAAAAAGACTCCGGCATGAAACATGTTCCTCCGAAACGTCTGTTGACTTTCACCGGACTAAGTGCCATTATACCCCAGAACCTCAGACCTCATCTACATTCAGTTGTGTATGGTTTCAGCGGACTGGTCTGGCTCCGGGTGTCCGCCTCCTGACATGGCGCTCAACGGCTCCGGGTTGCCCCGAACTGTGGCGGACCGTCACCGCTCCGACTACAGAACGGAGGTCACGGAGGTCAAGTTCTCGGGGCAGATCGGCCCGCTCGGGGAGAAGCGGCTTTGTAAGATCAAGTGTATTGGAGGCAACTGGGTCGGCCCCCTCTGCCAGAATCAGGAAGGTGAGTTCGGACACTCCAGAGGAACACGTGCCCATATGTACACAGTCGCCATTGTTTTAAAGCCCTCTCCATAATACATCACTAAATATAAATAAAACGATTTTTAGAAATGAGAATATTATCATGTATTAGTGGTAGCGTGATGAATACTAATGGGTTCTGGATTTGACGATTGGGCTTATTGGCACTTCTTTACAATTGCATTCAGTTCTGACAGCTTACAGCCAATTATTGTCTAGGACCCGCTCCATTCCTTGCTGGCCCAGCAGCGTGTTGCCTTCCACTGTGACGAATAACCAACGAAGAATTCCTGCTCACACCTTGAACTGCCTTGAAAGGCGTTTTCTCACGACTCTCTGTGAGGAATCTGTCACTGTTGTCTGAATCTCGGACTGGTCTCTAGTCTCTCGAATTCGGGACCTCTACTCTCTGGATAACTGCTAGGCGGCCCTTATAGAAGACACCACTTCGAACAGTTAATTGTGCCCTGTAATTCTGTCGGTTGTCGCGGGAATCTTGTGTTTAGCAACTTGTTACCCGGCTGTAATTTGCGCATCCGTTGCCACGGGAATGCGTGTTTACCAAACCGTTGTCCAGCAACAGCATTTTCCTCGTTGCCACGGAAGTGTGCTTATCTAAGCGTTGCTTAGCAGATGGCTATATTCCGACTTTCAGGCGTCATGTCACAACATAAAAACGACGACATAAATAAGCTAAAAGTAAAGTTGTCCCTGTGCACAACGAATTAAACGCTACGCTATGAAGGCGTAAGGGGGAGTGAAGCTAGGAAAGATAATTACGTAAATAAATAAATAAATAAAGATTAAGAATATCAATGACGATCAAGTATACAAATCAACAGATAAATAAGAAAGCAGACTCTTGTATGGATTAGTGCACGATGTTGTCAGTAGCTGGACTTTATAGCATGGAATGGTACGGTGGCTGATGAATGATGGATTGGAAAGGGTTTCGACGGAATCCATCATGGTCTAATCGAAGTACTACCAGTATCTTTGCATTTGTCTGAAAGGACTGAGTAAAACGACGAAACCCTACAAAGGTAAATGATCAGATGTTAATTATGTGTGATAAATAAATAATTATAGAGGTAGTAAGTAAATATATATTGTCACATTCATGAGTGTTACTATAGACGGTGTTTTTGACTGAAGACTTTTATTTATTGACCACTTCAACACGCGACTCGTGACAGCACTTAATTATGGCGTCGTCGCTGATCTCCACACTTTGCAAATCACTAAAGCTCACACTAAGTTTCTTCCGGTTTTTGTGTCTTCACCTGTCGTTTCCTGGTAACTGCTTCTAACACTGGAAATTCTTTAGATTCGGTACTCACTTACATGCTCTCAACTGCACCGACTAAAACTTCTCTTCACAGACTCCCTTACAACTCTCTCACTCAGCTAGTGTCTTCATTGTAGAAGCCCTTGTCAGGGACCCCGTAGAAAACACCGTTTCCAACAGTTCCTCTGTTATTGCTCGTGAAATCGTTGCCGTGGGAATACGTTTCGCGGTCGTTACCTAGTAACGGGTCAACACGCTACAGTATAAATAAGTAGATGGAATCGCAGTGAAGACCAGTATGGGAGTGGAGATAGAATTCCTCACATTCTCAGTATCTGGGCAAATTTTAAGAGAGGAGGCAGCTTGACGCTCTGGCCAGTTTCTCTTGGGAAACAGCCTTGGTATCCATTCAGTATGAGGCTCTGGAGGCTCCAAGGGCAGTGTGAATAAAATGATGAGTTGACAAATTCCCTGTCTCTTCAGGGTCATTCCATGTGAAATCATCCGAAAGGTCGCTCACCATTTTTAAAAAAATTCAAAATTTGTACACTTATTTCTACATATTTTCACACCTCAAATTTTTTTTAAAAAATTGTGATCCGCTCGGTTCTCCCGGTACACCCGTTTTTATAATGCGAAAACAAATCTTTTCGCCTGAAATGGAGGTTTGCGTTATCTCCCATGTCTCGATAACTATTGAAGCTAGAGACTCCAATAAGAAACCAATTTGTTCCTCATGATATTGACTATAAATCTTATTATTACAAGATTTTACTTAACTCACTTTCTGTAGGTGTAATTAAGCTTGAAACTTACTTATCGATTTTGAAAAAAGAAACGCTATTTTTCACCTTCAAAAACCAATGGGAGGGGGAAAGTATCAGATCTGTGGTTTCTACCCTTTGTTTTCTCCTACATGAAGAATATAATCACATAGTTTTGAACACCATACCTATTTTCTAAAATTTTCCAGGAGCTTCCAAACTTTGCTCTGGGCCCAAAATCGGCCGTAAATTTTATCATCTCATATCTCCGGTGGAGAAGCTTCGAAAAATTTGAAATTCATAGCAAATAGTGCACTATGCTAGAGCAACTTGAAGTTAAAATTACAACTTTTATATTCAACTATTAGCGAAGTTGTTGGCACTTTGGATTTTACCAAAAAAAACCAATACCTCAACAATTGGCTTACCTGCATCCAATGGTATTAGTCCGNCTATTTTCTAAAATTTTCCAGGAGCTTCCAAACTTTGCTCTGGGCCCAAAATCGGCCGTAAATTTTATCATCTCATATCTCCGGTGGAGAAGCTTCGAAAAATTTGAAATTCATAGCAAATAGTGCACTATGCTAGAGCAACTTGAAGTTAAAATTACAACTTTTATATTCAACTATTAGCGAAGTTGTTGGCACTTTGGATTTTACCAAAAAAAACCAATACCTCAACAATTGGCTTACCTGCATCCAATGGTATTAGTCCGTTGTGTACTCCGATGAATATTTTCCAGTTTGTTTGAAAGTACACGTAGTTCCGTAAGTGTCCACTATCACGAATTCTTCGAAATCATCGGACTTGGATGTTTTATAACACCTGACCGTGTTTTCCTCCAGATGGACGACCCGGTGTTTTTCTCTTGTGTGGAGCACAGTTTTGCACTTTTGGAACATCCTTTTTAGAATGATTTCATTTCTTGCAACTTCCTCTTTTGGCACAAAAAAGTAAACTATTCCTGGGATATTTTCTGTGCAGAATATTTACAGTTCTAGCGGGCACACGATTTGATTAAAATGAGTTCTTTGAAGACTGGCTTTCGCTGCTTGCCTCTTCGTGGTGCTGCCAATGCCGTCACAGGCATTCTTCCCGTGCGAGGTGGCAAAGAAGTTCCATTCTGCTTCAAGTCCGAAGTCTTCATAGTGATGACATAAATTGAAAAGATTCTTTTTGTTTTTATATTGGCTTCCAGCGCCTTCTCTGAAATAAATAACTTTCCTGACTGAAGGCACATTTCCTTTTACATCGGCGATAAGAAATTTTTGGAACACAAACTGTGGCTCTATCGTGCTTTACATGACCACTGATTATACACAAGCTTGGGCATTTTCTTATAGTGTCCGCCTTGTAGTAATACACAAAAGTGAAGTGTAGCCTGTTGATTTACCCAGTGGAAACTTTGAATCTCGTCTTGAACGAGAAACGAACAATTTTCTGCAAAATCTGTAAAATTTAAAGTGCCCACAACTTCGCTATTACTTGAATATCAAAGTTGTAATTTTAACTCCAAGTTACTCTAGAATAGAGCATTATTTGCTATGAATTTCAAATTTTTCGAAGCTTCTCCACCGGAGATATGAGATGTTAAAAATGGCCGATTTGGGGCCCAGAGCAAAGTTTGAAAACTCCTGGAAAATTCTGGAAACTAGGTATGGTGTTCAAAACTATGTGATTATATTCTTCATGTGGGAGAAAACAAAGGGTAGAAACCACAGATCTGATACTTTCCCCTTCCCATTGGTTTTTGAAGGTGAAAAATAGCTTTTTTCTCAAAATCGATAGGTATGTTTCGAGCTTAATTAGACCTAGAAGAAGTGAGTTGAGTGAAACCTAATAATAATATGATTTATAGTCCATATCATGAGGAACAAATTGGTTTCTTATTGAAGTCTCTAGCTTCACTAGTTATCGAGATATGGGAGATAACGCAAACCTCCATTTCAGGCGAAAAGACGTTTTTTTCGCATTATAAAAACGGGTGTACCGGGAGAACCGAGCGGATCACAAGTTTTTAAACATTTTTCTTGAGGTGCGAAAATAAGTACAAATAAGTATACACATTTTGAATTTTTTTAAAAATGGTGTGCGACGTTTCTGGATGATTTCACATGGAATGACCCATCAAGGAAATGAACCTCGTTCCTCTAGCCCGTAAAAGTCTTTAAGTACTCAGATAAGCAAATAACCGAATAAACGATTGGGCAAATGATCGGTTCAACGAATAGGTAAATAAGCGACTAAATAGGCCTGCATCTGATACAAGCGCGACTGTCAGTGCAGCCTGGATCGCATTCATTGCCCCAGTCGAGTATCCACACTCTTTATTTGAATGTCGCTGAAGTTTATCGATTTCCGTTTTAGCCCACGGCCCACACTAATGCAGCAAGCGCTGAAAGCACTCGTGTCTAGCCCCGTTCATTTTAGAGTTGAGAAGGTCTGGACCGGTCTGGACTGTGTAGGTTTTGATGTCACCCATCACACTTGGAACACGGTTGCATGTCAAGTTTTCCTCAACACACCACATAAATTTGCGTGGTTGACATGCCACAATAAAAGTGCATACTTTTCAAACAGCCGTTAGCACACAAAATTCAGACACTAATGTTCCCTCACATCAGACATTGACACAGTTTGCGTGCTATAATTAGAAAGTGAGGCCGCCCCATAGCTCAGGCGGTTAGTCACCCGTTTCATATCGCGGCGGCCCGGGTTCTAACGCAGGTCAGGTCATGTGGGATTTATGGTGGACAAAGTGGCACTGCGGTATTTTGGTTTCCCCTGCCAATCTTATTCCACCAGTTGCTCCCCTATCACCACCATCTATCATGTGGGGCTGGTACAGTAGGTCAGTAGTGGCCGCAGTACCAAGTAGACTCAGTCTCGTCCCACTAAGAATAGTAAAGAAAATACTCGATTTGAAAG